TCAGCCTAGAAGTCACTTCCCAGGGAGCCTGCCAGCTTTGTGTAAGACCTTCCAAAGAGCCTCATGGCACCCTGTGTTTGCCTCTTGAGAGTACATCCCATGGCTGATGTATGTACCTGGTTCCTCCATTAGACTCAGAAGTTTTTTTTTGTTTTGTTTTGTTTTGGTTTTTAACAGTTAAAGTACATTTTATTTATTTATTTATTTTTATTTTATTTTTTTTTATTCTTATGTTAATCCCCATACATTACATCATTAGTTTTAGATGAAGTGTTCCATGATTCATTGTTTGTGCATAACACCCAGTGCTCCATGCAGAACGTGCCCTCCTCAATACCCACCACCAGGCTAACCCATCCTCCCACCCCCCTCCCCTCTAGAACCCTGTTTGTTTTTCAGTAGACTCAGAAGTTTGAAGGCAGAGGCTGTGTTTGCTCATCACTGTATCCCCAGTACCCAGTAGTGCCTGGTGCATAATGCATAACCTGTAAATATTTTATCCGTGCAGTGAATGGATGGCTCTGCCATGTTATATACACATCCTTTATGCACTTACCGAGTGCTGCTATGTCTCATGCACCATAATGTGTCACTTCATAAGTGCAGGGGCAACTCAGTGCCAGAATCCTCAGAATCTTGGCTCCGGTGCTCCTTTAGGCTATCATCTGTTTGGGCCACATGAGTTTCTGCATAGCTGGGAGTTTGACCTCTAAGTGTTTTTGCAGCACCCATACACCTATCTTCCTCTTATCTTATCTGCCTCTTTTCTGCCTTTTCAGGGGCCATTAAGGTTCAGTCTGCAGCTCTGAGCCACCCCAGACTGCAGGGGGTGGGCCTCCAGCTTCTGTCTCTTTAACTTTGCTGCTTTTCTTCCCTGCTTTCAGTGTCTGCCTGGCCCTTTCCCCATCGCCACCTCTACTTCCTTGATAGACCTCGCTCTACCAGGCTCTATCCAGCGGAATAAGACCTCTGCCCTCAACTAGCTCACCTCCTTGTAGCTTAGTTAAGCAAACATTAATTGCATGCATCCTCAGTCTACGTAGCCAAGTGTGGTCCACTTCGACTTCAGAACTTGTCCTTAAAGGTGTCATTTTTCTAAGTAAATCACCCCTACCAGCTGCTTTTGTGTTATTTGCCTCTGTTCTCAGTTGAGTGCTGAAAAAGAAATTGCTTGTCATTGAGACTTCTATCTGATGGAAGCTCTGCTGTTTTCAGAGGACGGTGACCAAACCCCAGGCCACCATAAAGATATGCCGTCTTTAGTCCAGCTCTGCCAGGCCACAGAACCCAGAAGGGTCTCAGGGGCACACCTCCCCGGGCACGGACCCAAGCAGAATCCTAGCCTCTGGGAGGGCAGGGACAGTGTGTGTTCATCTCGGTCACCCTGATGCCTGGCAGTTTCTGAAATACAGGAGGCATTCAGTATACATTTGTGGAATTAGCAAAAGGACAGAGGGAGGAAGGGAAGGAGGGAGAGGAGGAGGAAGGGAGTGAGGGAAGGAGGAGCAAAACTGACACAGAGATGAGGGCAAGAAATGAGAGGTGTCAACTGGATGATTTGGTGAAGGGGTGTGTTGCTCCTTCTCATATGAGTGACATTTTGTCCCAGGGACTATCAGTATCAGATTAGAAGAATCTGATAGCGTAAGTACTGAAATAAATACTCCGAACTTGGAGCGTTTCTAATAAGGGAAGAAATAACATTAGGGTAGTTATATAACAAGAAACATCTCCTAGACGCTTAAAGATTATAGCTCTAAGGAGGAAGAAAAACCCCACAGCTCCCTGAAGAAATCCAACATTACAAGCAGCTGGGGCAGTAACTTCTTATTACCATGCGTTATTTCCATTTTGAAACTCCAGCCATATAGATTTGAGTGTCTTTTCATCTTCCCATCTTTTCTCCCCCTGCCCCTAAAGCAATCTCATCTCACATTGCTGCATTTGAGTAGTGTGGGAATGCCCCTCTTTTTTTCTGACCCCTCCATATGTTAATACTGTTTGGCATTGGTTTTAGAGCAAAAAGCTGACAAATCAGTTTAATGTCATGTGCCCCCTTGAGTAGATTGGTTGGGTCTCACTGGAGTGTTGAGAAGGATTCTGAAGCTGTGTCTAAGTTACATGGGGGCAAAGTTCATGCATGGGAAGAGGTGGAGAGGACTGGAGAGTGGCACTAGGCACACCACGTCCCCATTCAAGAGGAAAGTCAGAGCAGGGAACAGCATCCTTCAGGCTTTGACTTAAATGAGAGTCAATTAATGTCTTCATTTCATTTTCCCTTAGAGCCCGAAACTGGTCGGTTTTTGGCTCACGATCTACAATGGCTTGCGTGTAATATCTTTGCAAGCAGGGAGGAAAAGAGTTGACGATCTCAACAGTGTTTAAACCTTTCCTCTAATCGGTTGATGTCTGATATCCGATCCTGAATCGGACTTCAAGGCCATGGACGGGGGCAGGAATGAGAGACTGCTGAAAAATTTCCCCTGGTGGAACTATTTTCCAGTGGTTATATCAGAAGCAGTTTAAGCTTCTGAAACTCGAGCTCCACCTGGAAACCCCTAACTGAGCACCTAAGTTGCCATCCAAATCGGTGGCCTGGAATTTAGATTCGTGGGGAATCAGAATGTGCTGAGGAGTAGCCAGGAGTGTTGACCGGCCACCAGGCACGTCCCATTAATGGCAGGCATGTGCACAGATGCATGCAGTGTGTGTCACTGAGGGAAAACACACACAATCATCTCGTTGGAGGCATTCTTTTTCAGAGGGAGAAACTGAGGCCCGGCCAGTGAGCCAAGCTAGATTGCATCAGCTGTAATACTGACTGGGCCCCGCTAGTCGGTCAGTAAATGTTCCTTGACTACTTTCCATGCGCCAGTTACAGACCCTGCAAATGGAATGGTGAGAAGACCCTCAAGCCCCCTGCCACAGGGGGAGCTTTCTTGCTTTTTGGAAGGGACAGACAACAGCACCCCAACAAATCAATGCTTTAGGGGACTAGCAAGTGCACTGAAGAAAATAGTGTGATGATCAGGGACGCTGCTTGACCTCAGTGTCCGGAGAATGCTGCTTGGAGGATGTGGTGTTCACATTTGGCCTGGAATGACACAGTATGCCAGAGTCAGTGTTGTAAAGATCTTGGGCAGGACCCAAGCCAGACGAACAACAAAACCAATGTCCGAGAGATGAAGGAGAGTCAGTGTGGTTGGAGCAGAGGGCGTGCCCAGAGTCCTGTCTTCTGGCTCCGATAGTTGCCAAATTGTTAGTGGTGATGGTAGTGTCTCGTAAGCTTTAAAACTGTTATTGTACTTCCTCGAGTTGCTCTTATGTAGTAAGCCATTGCTTTTGGTTGGATGTGCTTGCTTGGTTGTATGGAGAGATTACGAAGAAATCTGTAAGTTAAGGTGAACCTTATCGTGAGCAATAACCCCTTTGGAGGGAGGCTCATCAGGTGGGGGGTGGGGACATTTCTGCTCCAGAGAACCATGCAGGTTGGTCGGAGGTAGAGAACGTGGTGTCCAGTGACCATAAACAGATTGGTTCAGTGGGGAGAGAACATCACACACCATCAACGGCTGACCTGCTTTCTAAACAATCTCAGCGAGCTCTCGTGCTTCCTCCCATGTGTCCGCGAGCTCTCGTGAGGACCGTGCTTCCTCCCATGTGCAGATGAATCCAGCCTTGTGTCCACAAACACTTGAAGAGCGGCATGTCCTGAGGGGGAGGATATTTTCCTTGTAAAACCCACATCCACTTCTGAATTCTCATCTCAGTTGCTGGCTACAGTCCGGGCTCTGGCCCCTAAACTGGAAACTGGCGGGTTGTGTACTCTCCACACCCCTGCTCTCCCGTTGGTGCCTTTGCCTCTGCTGCCCCTCTGTGGGTCGCCTTTCTCCCGAGTCAAGGCCAGCCCAGACCCTCCTCCAGGAAGCCTTCCTTGATCTCTGCCGGGTCCCATCCACTCGGCACCCTGCATTGTGTTCTGGCTGTGGTCTGTGGCCTCCAAGAGGCTGTGAGCTCCTGGGCAGGGAGCATGTCCCAGTCATTGTGTAGCTTTGCCCACCTGCACACAGTAGGGCTTGGTCACTGTGAGGTAAACAGCCGAGCAGGCTGTCTTCGTAAGCAGAGATTTTAGTTATTGGCTTGTTAGCATCAAAAGGACATGAAGGGAAGATTAATACTGAATACGGGCAACTGTTTTCTTCTTTATATTCCTCTAAATATATGAAGCAAATATTATTTTTAGAATTTTTTATGGTGAAATGTACATAACATAAAATTTGCTATGTTAACCATTTATGAGCCTACAACTCAGGGGCATTAAGTACATTCACACTGATGTGCAGCCATCAGCACCATCCATCCCCGGAACTTTGGGTCACCCCAAACCGAAACCCTGTACCCACTAAACAACAGGTCCCCCCTCTTCCCTCCCCCCACCCCTGGCAACCGCCCTTCTACTTCCTGTCCCCTTGAATGTGACTGTGCCAGCTATTTGATAGAAGTGGCATCAGACAGCATTTGTCCTTTTGTGTCTGGCTTGTTTCATTTAGCATCATGTCTTCATGCTTCCTCTATGTTGTAGGACGAGCCAGAATTTCCTTTTTTTTCAGGCTGAATAATAATTCCACGTTTGTACGTTTGTACCACATCTTGTTTATCCCCTGCATCCGTTGATGGACACTTTAGTTGTTTCCACCTTTTGACCGCTGTGAACATGGGTGTGCAAATGTCTGTTCCAGGTCCTATCTTCAACTCCTCTGGGTATATGCCCAGAAGTGAAATTTCTAGATCCTATGATGCAGTCAGTTGTACGATTTAGAAACATTTTTAATCGTTCTGAAATGGTCATTTCAATTCAAAGCAAAGGTTACTTTCGATGGGGCTCAGCAGAAATGCAGGCTGACACGTCAAACTTTTGTTCTCGTGGGCTAGGGATTGGCTGATGCTTGGTGACGTGAAATGATTTGTTTTCAAGCCCGGTGTCAATTTTTCTCTTACAGCATCAAGCTTCTAGCTGTGCAGGAACTACTTGACAGAGAGGCCCTGGAAAAGGTAAATCTTTTGTTCTTACTACCCCACATTCACAAACTTAGAGCAGAGTGCCACACACAGGAAAAATTCAACTCCCTGTCGCCAAAGACAGCACTTACTGCAAAGTGGGTCTGTTATTTTGTGTTCTTAACAGTCAGTGAACCATGCAAAATTTTCATCCAAACTCCCTACATTGCTCATATCCTGTTACAAACTCAGTGTTGCTCGGCTCCTTCAGGGTTGTGTTGAAAGCAGAGGCAACCTTTCTTTTCCTTTCAACACCAGGCACTGGACCAGACTCCATGTTGGCCCCTTCACTCCATTTCTGCTTGTGGGTGGTAGTTACTCTCTGGGCTTGTGGATGGTAGAATGGAGGCCCAGTGAAGTTAGGTCATGTGCCCAGGGAAAATTAGCTAAGCGGCAGAGTAGAGATTTGAACCCCATGGTTCCATTTCCCAAATCAGTGCTTTTTCTGTTTAACAGGCAAGTTCATGAGTTTGATCCCCTTTTTAGGCTATTTGTGAGGATTAGGAAACTCCCTTCCCACCTCAAACTAATGTTTCACTATGCTCTGGAAGAGATATCCAGTGTTTCAGCTTTCTGTGATCAAGTCAAGCACGCAGCTGGGGATCCTTTGCGGGTTATGAGTTCAAGTTCTGTGTGTAAGGTGGGGTAGGCTCTGGAAAACAGATCAGGCAAGACCGAGAGCTTGGGTCTTGGCCCTCTTGGGCCTCCCAGCTCATACCAAGGTGCTCTCCTGGGGTGGCTCCCTCTCTTCCTGACTGTGTAGCTATGGGTGCTAATTAGAATCTATAATGTTAGTGTAAAAGGAAGTGGTTATAGATATAAACACTCAAGAAATATTATTTTATTTGTAGGATTTTAAATGTTTGGATTAGTGGCCAGTCTGCTGGTTGGCACTGAAGCAAAGTCTTTAAGCACCAAGCAATGATGTGCAGGGAGGGGGCTGCTGAGCACTGACTCTGAATTTAACATTCCTTCAGGCTCATTTTCGTCCCAGGTAAAACAGGGATGTTGCTGCTTGCCTGACTTCAGAGAGGCAACATGAGAACCAGCTGAGTTTGTGTAGCAGAAGGGCTTTCTAAATGCCAAAGCACTCGACACATATTAATTCTTAATTACTTGTATTAATTCTTAATACACATCCAGCCATTAAAATGCACGAGGCTCTAAAAGATATCCTTGGGCCTAATGACAATGTTGGATATGGATCGTAGATTAGATTAGAAAGTATTATATCAATGTGAACTTTCCCTGACGTCGGTAACTGGCATGTGTCAGAGAATGGACTTATTCTTAGGAATTATACACTGATGTGTTTAGGAGTAAAGGGGCATGCTGTTTATAACCTCTTCTCAAATGGGTCAGAAAAAACTAATGGAGATATGGTTATGTATATGTGAGCCAGAGGGGGAAGGAGCATGCGTAGATGACAAAGCAAATGGGGCATAGTGCCAACAGTTGGCCCTTCTCGGGGGAGGAGCATATGAAGATTCTTCATGTGTTTTTGAAACCTTTAAGAATTTACCTCTCCAAAAACAATTTTCTTCTCAATATTCTCTACAGTTCTTTTGTTTTACTCCTTAATTAATTAATTTATTATTTATTTATTTATTTTTTAAAGATTTTATTTATTTATTTGACAGAGAAAGATAGC